CGGATGCACGATGCGGGATAAGGGGGGGCTAAAACAATGGAGATTTTGATTTGCATGAAGATTTAATGGTGAAATCAAGCTTTTGCTACAGTGATTAGTGGTGAAATCAAGCCATTAGGGGGGGCTGGAGCCCCCCAGCCCCCCCCTTTGGATCCGCCCCTGGCCTCACCATCTCAAAGGCCCTCATTTGATTTTGTCCCAGCCTGTGTGGTTGACTCCGCTCACCCACTGTCACCATGGGATTTTGGCATGTCCACTATGTGAACCCAAGAGTGTCTTTGTGTTATTGTATATTTTGTGTGCATTCAAGTATTTGCTTCTCGATGCCTCCCAGTTTATTGGTTGAATTCTTGAGGGCGAGATCACTAATGCTAGAAATTCTTGAGTAAGTAAATACATTGATGTAGCCACAATTGACTACGAAACTGATTGCACGCTATGACAGGGGAGGAGCAGATTTGTGTGCTGAAGGACATTGGACCAAGAAACTGATCTCGTGCATAGATTATTTACTTGATCATGATCTCTGACCACTCTAATGAAGATGTGCACAGTGGCATAATAATTGATTGAAATCATGGTTATTTGATCCCATGTTTGGGCTAAGTTATACATTTCAACTTTTTCCTATCTGTTTGAAGACAAGGACCCTCGCAACAGAGGCATGCCACACTGTTAGAGAATAATAATGTGTTAGGTGATAATTTTCTATTTAGATAGTGTCGATGGTGTGTTTTGTTTTTCTAATTTTGATTTCTTGTAGATTGGCAAGACTACCAGGAAGGAGTGAAACAACATGAGTACATGATAGAAGCTCGGAGAAAATTGAAGTAGTACCACAAACAAATGGAATGATACAAATAGAAGAAGATTGATGTGTATTTTTGTTTGTGCATCTAAGATTTTTTTTGCTCCAAACTAGATGTACATGTGAACTGAAAACCCATGTAATATTAATGATTGCCTACAAATGAAATGATGCAAATATCACACTCATTATTGATTTTTCTTCGATGTAACACACTTTCAAACTCAAAATATAAGACATTATTCGTGGATTTATTGGCGCATGAAAGAAAAGGATATCGGAGATTTCTTCCTGCCGATATAAAATATCTTAGACGCATCATGGAAAGGTCTGCGTTCTCCGTGACTATGTTAATTTCATGAACTTTACTTTTTGAATTAAATATCACTTTAACATCGGTATTTAATTTCACAGTATTGTTATCTTATTGTGCGATTCGTGTATTTTTATTACAAAAGTTTAGTTGTCCCGTAGCAACGCACGGGCACGGACCCAGTGAATGTAAAAGGTAAACATATCTTATCTGTGTCAGATATGTGGTGGAGTTGAGATGGTAACACATGTATGGGCTGAAGTGGGAGGTCTTGAGTTCAAATCTACGTACCCCCTCCTTTCTTTCCTTAATAAACACCTCGGTTGTAGGAAACCGGGACTAAAAATCGAGACCTTTAGGCCATTCTCAGTAGGAGTTTCATTTGCATTTAATGAGATACCATATAAGTGTTTTGGTTTTTAAAAAGAGGGAGAAGAAGTGAGTTTCGTGGGGATGAAACTCTTGACACATTTACCAACCCTCTATGAGTCATGGAATTAAATGTCTATGAAACTATAGAATGAAACTCTCTATTGAAAATGGGTGTTCCAATCATGTTTTATTTAATTATACATGACATGGCTGTCTTAGAAACAACGCCACGAAACTCTCCACTAAGACTGGCCTTAGTCCCGATTGTGTAATCCCGAAGGGGGTTGGGAACTAGGATTTGTGCCTGTTTCTGCGGTAGTGGGCCAGGCACGGCCTTAAATTGTGCCCATGCCAGCACTAGCACTATGGGCCGTGCTCGGGCCATGCCATGCTTTTCTGGGCCGAGCCCATGCTTGCCCATAGTGCTTGGCCCATTTGAACATCTATAGCCACGCGGTGGTGCAGAAGGCATGCTACTAGCACAAGCACGGTCGTGGCGACGTGGTGTTGCCATATCTAGGTCGCGGCTGTACTGGTGACGGTGGGTCTTCAGTTCGTACTTGAATGAGTGATAGAGCACTGAAAAATCTGTCCTTGACTCGACGCATGGGCAGAAATTTGTGACTCAGACGCATCTTCTATTTCTGATTACTGAGAAGATTGGCTCCGTCACATATAAGCTTAAACTTATCAGTCGGTTTATCAGATAAAATCTACAGTATTTTTTCTCACAACAAGACAGCTTTAGCCGGCTTTAATACCAGCCGAACATGCCCTTCAACTGCCAGCCACATCTTCAATTCACCCTGTCGTCCATGTGTCAGCAGTAGAAGATAGCAGTCCACAGAAGGATGAAAACTCGCTTTGGTTCTGATCTTCTCTAAGTGTGTACTGTTAGTGGTGGTGCTGTACGAAGCAGTTTGCTTTTGGGGTTATACGTTTCTGCTTCACTCTGTTCTGAACTGTTTCTCGAGTATGTAAAACCGTTCAACCTGTTCGTTTGTTGGTTTCAGTCAGAGTTTATCAATCAGTCAACAGTGTTTTTCTCTCACAACACAATAAACCAGCATCAGCCACGTTTATCAGCCTAGAAACCAATCAGTGAACAGGCTCGTTATATGCTCAATGTCTTCTATAAAAGAAAAACAAAATGGCAGTGAATTTTGTTAGGATCGTAATGTTAATATTTATAGGCAAATTTTGTTGTAGGACATCTAACTTCAATGAAATTGCCTATTTCACACCGCCAACTTCAATAGTTGCCGGACACCAATATAAAATCGTGGTTGTTTGCTAGAAGACACAACATCCATTAAAATATTAATTTATCAAATCTGGGACGGGAAAGGAGGGGTAATAGACGATTTTGCCCATGTCTCACCTAACAGGTTTTCTTCCCTCTCTCTCTTCCTCAAGTTCGGTGGCATTGATGTCAAAAAAAAAGTCCGGTGGCTAGATCCTCTTCTACTACCCCACCTCCGGCAAATCACGCCTCCACCCAGTCGTGCCTGCTCCGTGGTGACACCCGGCGCTCCCTCCCGCTCCTCGCCCTCCTCCTCCTCCACTTCTGCCTCCTCGCCGCCGCCGCTTCGGCACACTTCACCCGGTCCATCTCCCACCTCGCCGTCCATGGCCACCGTCATGATGTCGGCTGCTCACGCTCGACAATGGCACTCGCCTACGCTACTGCACTTGGGGGGGGGGCCACGTGATGCCTAGGGCCGGGCTTGCCACCATCCTCTCCCGCTGAGGTGGTGGTTGCGCCGGTGGCGGTGGGAGACGAGGTGGCAGGGCCGCGCGGTGTGCGAGCGGAGGGAGTGGGCCACCGTGAGCACCGGATGGCAGCAGATTGGTGGACAAGCCAAACCCACGGATGCAGAGGCACACATCGACTTAAGCCACGGTGGCAGAAGAAAGAAGCAGAGCATGGGTAAAGGCAAGACAGAGGAGGAAGAAGATAGACTAGAGGGTAAAACATACATTTTATGCCCATGGTGGCGGCAGGAGTGACTGGCAGGCCCGCTGATCGAGTGTTGGGGCGAGGCGGCCGAACTGCCTGACCCGATGAAATCACCGTGGGCGCCATATTGCGCCGCTCGAAGGAGCGCAACAAAGTCATGGCGTGTTGTAGGTCCTGGGGGTCGTGAAGCTCGACGTCTAACCCCCCTCGGTGAAGAGCTGCGCCAGCTGGTGTGCTAGTGTCAGCCGACCCGCGTGCGCCATCCGAGCCTAGAACGCCCGTGATATGAGTCAATAGATGTCGTGAACGGCAGGTGAGCGAGTTCGGCTAGGTGGTTGGTGCGGAGCGGCGGCCCGAACCGCTGGTGGCACAGCCATTTGAAGCCTTCCCAGCTCGGCACACCGGTGTCGCGCTGGACATAGTACCATTGTTGGGCGGAGCTGGTCAGGTGCAAGGAGGCTAGCCAAACCTTGTCGCCGTCGCGGTGCGCTGGGCCCGAAAAAACTTCTCACAGAGGTTCAACCAGCCCAACAGGTCGTCCTTGCCATCATAAGTCGGATTTCAGGGGTATTGCACATGTGGTGTACCACTTAACAAGTCCAGGTGATGTCGAATTTCGATTTTGAGAGTTCGTGGACCTAGGTGGCGCAACACGGTGTATTTAACTCTCACCTTCTATAAAAAAGCAGGGAAAGTCCTTTCACTAAAAGAAAGAGAGAATGAATACTCAACCATTCAAAAAAAGAATGAATACTACCATTTTATTTGCATTGGGATTAGACTATACTAACAGGCTAATTTTCAGCAGCTAACTTTTAACACTAGTGAATCTAAATAGGTCTTAACATGTTGCATGCTCTTGCCCGACAGATTAAACTAGGAACTGCGGAACAAAATGAAGCTCAAAACGAGTTTGTGCTGTGGCCCTACATTAATAATACTGCCAAGAAGCAAAAGACTAGTTGAACTGATTTGAATTAGTTGATGACATGCACGGCAGCACAGCATTTTAGAATTATTGGTTTGTCACCATTTATACTGTAGTAGTAACACTAATTAACAGCATGATTAGTGCCATGTCTTGGCGGATGTATCTTCAACCTTCCTCCAATTACTGGCTCTGAACTCCTGTAAAAGCTGATTACAGCACGCACCATGCGGTGTTGTATACAATATGCTTGAGACTTTTGAGACGAGGAATGAAAACTAATGTTTTAGGAAACCTGAGTTTCTCTAGAAAGGAAGGCATTGCTTATGGTTGACCTCTGAAATGCATGTAAAATGTACGTTTAGTCCCTGTAGATTAACTTAACATATTCTTCCGGAGAGTTTGTTGTTTCCCAGGTTCAGTCTCCACAGCAGTGGCGCGCCATAGATCAAATTTGGTGGTATCTCACCTGAGCGTTGGTTACTGCTTAGGTCCAGATCTTGCAGTCGTGGCGTACCGTAGCCCAAATTTGCTGGTATCTCGCCAGAGATTTGGTCACTATTCAGGTACAGATTCACGAGAGTGGCACATCGCACGACACCTTCTGAGATGGAGCCATTCAAGCGATTGTTTGAGGCACTGAAATACCGAAGCCTGCCTTGAGCACACAACCACCGGTGAGCTTGTTGTCATCAACTGAAACAACAGATAAGCCTGGTGAGTGCTTCCCGAGCTCTGGCGGGAGTGTGCCAGTAAGCCTGTTGCTGTCCAAGGACAACATCGTAAGCGATGGCAACTGGCTGATACTTGCTGGTATTTCACCAGAGAAACTGTTGTTATCGAGCATTAATTCTGTGAGGTTCTCCAATTGCCCAAAGACTTCAGGGATGGCTCCAGCAAGCTTGTTGTTGGATAAGGCGATGACTTTCAACCCCCTCGCAGCAAAACCATCAACCACCATGTGTCCGGTGAGGTTGTTCGTGGAAACAATTAAGAATTGAAGCTTCTTGAGGCTCCAAATCTCAGGAGGTAAGCGTCCAGTCAACGAGTTACTTCCAAGGTTCAGATGCCACAACTCTGTCAAATTCACCACGTAGCTCGGGAAGTTGCCGATGAGGCCACATCGTTTAGCCCATAGGCTGACTAGCTTGTGTTAGTTTGATCTCCACCAACGGCCAATTGGACCCTTGGATCAACACCCTGATTGAGGACGTCCAACCACTCTATGGTTGGTGGACCCCGTCGCATAGCACCATAAAAAGGAAGTTGGGGCCGGGGCACGAGGTACGAGGTTGACCTGAGCCGCCGCAACCCTCCTACAGAGAAACCCCAACGCTAACCGATCAAGAGAGACGGTGCTGCCAGCGACGGGAAGTCGCCACCGACTTCACCATTGCCTCTACATCGCCACCACCGTGCCTACGCTGCCACGACATCGGTGTCCACGTTGCTGCGGCGCCATGGACCCAACTGTGCTGGGGCGAGGTACAGGAACAAGTTTCTCCATCTAAGTCGAGATTATCCCCTGATCTACGATTTTAGAGGTACTATATCCTATCAATGGTACCAGAGCCAGGTTCTAGTGTAGATTTAAATTAGGGGTAGCAATTTAGAAGGAGATGAGAAAGATCCAATTCGGATCGAGACAGAGGGTTCCTAACCCTAACCCTAGAAGGGGAAGAACAACAGAACAAAGAGGGCTCGATTCGGCCCGATTCGGATCGACTCAGACATGAACCCCAACCCTAACTCGCGAAAAGCAGGCGGGGAAGATGAACAGTGGGATGAACAGTGGGTTCGGCCAAATCCAAACCCTAACCCTAGACTCGACCCACTCCAGGAAGATAGAAGAAGGGGTTTTGGGAGATTAACTCACCGGATTAGCTCCGGGAAGCACACCGCAAGAATCCCCACAAATACATAACTCTAACCCTAACTGACAAGAGGACGACGTGAAGAAAGGGACCTACCTGGACCTCGCCGTTGTCACTACCGCCACCACGAGGGATGTTCACCAAGATCTCGCCGCGCCGCCGCGCGGTTTCTGACGTGCGGGATCGGGATCCAAGGCGCAACCGCAAGGCCGCTCAACGGCGGCACACTCCGCCTAGGGCGAGTGTGCGCGCCGGCGAGGGGCCCCGCAGCCGTGCTGCCTTCTTCCTTCTCTCCGGCCGCCACGCGCTGCCGTCGCGCCGTCGTTTCTGTGGCGCTGAAGTGAGAAAATGGGAGGGAGAGAAATGAAATTAGGGTTTAGCAAAGGGAGCCTGCCAACACCGGTTTTTACTCGCGCGAGATCGACGCGGAGCCGTCCATCGAGATGAACGGCCAGGAAACGCCGGGCCGAGTTTTGGCCCAGGCGGGCGCGAGCGGCAGGCCGCTTTCCCGGCCCAGGCCCAGGTTGTGGCCTGGGAGGGAGACGCAGGTGAGCGCGCGAGCTGGGCCAGACTGTCTCCCCGGTCGGGCTGAGTAAACAGTGAAGAATTGGGTTTTTTCCTTTTTCTTTTTCCAGTGAATTTAGTTTTTTTTCTAGAAATTGATTATTGGCTCATTAGTTTTGAGGAGTTTATCTTGTGGGTAAAATTCACGAATTAAGTTTCCGCTGCAAGGTTTAATATTGATTACCTTCTAATTAAATTCGAACCAACAGAAAAATTTAATTAGAGGAGTAGTCTGTTTTGTTTAAGTAAGATTATGGTATTGTCATTTTCTGACCAACGTTGATGATGACAATATTATAATCAATTTAAGGTTGAAGTTTAAATCTCTGATAAATTTTACATCAATGTGGTCAATTTTTCAGAGAGTAGATAAGGACCAAAAAATGCTCCTGAACTAGAAGAATGTATTTCATTAAGTTTTCGCTGCAATGATGTTGATTATCTTTCAATTAAATTCGAATCAATGGGAGAATTTAATTTTGAAGAGTAGTTGTATGTATTTCAAGTTGATTTATGAGTTTTTATGCATTAATTCTATTTTCTGCCAAACGGTGATGTAGAATTGATGCAGAAGCATATTGTATGTTTTATTTTAACTGACAAGATCACTCGGCTGCATGCCAACGGGCTGCAATACTGGGGTATGTGAATGGAAAGGCTTGAGTCAAGCCAGTTCAGGATAATTTTTTGTTAGTTTACTAATTTTCTGATTAAATTAAAACCAATGGAAATATTTAATTGGAAAATGAAGTATAAGTGAAGTTTTAGTCGTCATGACTAAGTTTTTGCATAGATGTATCCCACATGGGGAGAAGTTTTGGTATAGTACTTATGCTAGTCAATCCTGCATGGTAGGAGAAGTTTTCTGATGGTTCACATATTTTTGTATCCCGCATAATGAGAGAAGTTTGGGTAGCTCTTATGCTGTCCTAGTATTGACCTTGGCACAATAGAAATGCATTGTCATGGTCAATACTAACCAAAAGATGAGAAAAGATGCAAGTGCGACTTGCAAAAGCACTGCTAATGAAAGATCTCGTTGAGTTCTTAAAGTGAATTAAGTAAAGTGTACTCCTAAATGGATCAAGAAATAACTTTGTTTATATGACACAATCATGTGAATAAAGTAAGATAAAAGTGTCTCCTCGTTTATAGGCTTTCTGAATAATTATGGAAATTATGGCAGTAAAGTCCATGCCATATTTTGAGGGGGAGAATATCAAGTTCAATTAAGAAAGGTACTCTTCATTAAGAGTGAGATAAAGATTAATTAAGATGTATGCGACCGTCGGAGGAGTACAACGGTCATAATAATGATATCCCTAAGCAGAGAAATAGCTAAATTCCTGGACCTTTTAAAGTTCCGACATAAAGATAGCGTAGTCAGCGTCAAAGATGTTAAGGTGGTGCTTAAAGTGCCATATAAGAGGTTAACGGATTAAACCCAAAATAAGATATTTGAAGATACACTATCTTTAGAAAAGATGGAAAGATCTGAGGGAGCATGGTATGTAGAGGTATGTAGAGACCTAAGACTTGAAGAGAAGAGAGACTGTGTACCCACTCCAGTGACTCAGGAACAACAAGTTTCTCAATACCTGTTGATGTTGTATGACCAATACAACATATGTTGTTAGCTCTTCGAAGAAGATGAATAATGAGGATCTTGTTATATAGGAGCATGTAGAATCAATTGTCTCTTGGCAATGAAGAGCAACAACAGCCCCATATGAAAGTGCTAGTTGCTGAGGCCCTAGAAGGTCTTAAAAAATTAGTAAACCAGTTTTCTGATGACTATGAAGTTTATGTTAGTGTTGAAATTCAAATGGAGGGTGATCCCACCTTATTTGAAGAAGCCATGAGAAACGTTTACTCGTTTAAATGGCAAGAAGCTATAGAAGCTAAAATGAATTCGATGAATACCAACGATGTTTGGGACTTAAAAGTAATTCCTAATGGAGCAAAAACAGTAGGCTATTAATGGGTCTACAAGACAAAATGTGACTCCAAAGGGAATATAGAAAGATATAAAGTTGAAATGTATTCGATGAGTACCAACGATGTTTGGGACTTACAAGTAATTCCTAATAGAGCCAAAACAGTAGGCTGCGAATGAGTCTACAAGACAAATTATGACTCCAAAGGGAATGTAGAAAGATATAAAGCACGACTTGTAGCAATATGCTTTACGCAAAGAGAATGAAAAGATTACAATGAGAGTTTTCTCTCTAGTCTCATGCAAAGACTCTTTTAGAATCATAATGGTGTTCATGGCACATTACGATTTAGAAATACATCAGATGGATGTAAAGACGACATTTCTAAATGGGGATTTATATGAAAACGTTTACATGGCATAACCCAAAAGGTTTTTGTCATGGAAGAAAAGAACATATGGGATGCCGCCTGTAGAAATCCATTTATGAGTCAAAGGTAAGTCTCTATACAGTAGTATTTGAAGTTGATGAAACAATGATAAGAAAGTTTGGGCTTTAAAGAAAATGAGAAGGACAATAGCATTCATACGAAGTTCAAGAATGGAAAATTTATTTTCCACATCCCGTGAATAGATGATATTCTATTCACTAGTAGTGATGTTAATCTGTCATTGGAGAAGAAGAAGTTTTGTCCCCAAGTTTCAATGTGAATGATCTTGGTGAAGCGTCATTGGTTCTAGGAATCAAAATTCACTAAGATAGAAGAAAAATGGGGTATTAGAACTATCGCAAAGGCATACTTAGAAAAAATTCTAAAGAAGTAAAGTATGCATATGAGTAAACCTACGCCTGCTCTTATAGTCAAGGGTAATAGATTTGGGAACCCTAAGTGTTCCAGTAACCGATATGAGATCGATCAAATGAACATGGTTCCATACGCTTCAGCTGTTGGAAGCTTGATGAGTGTACAAGTACAAGTAAGAACTTACCCGGACGTAGTTTACGTTTTCGGGATATTTTGGCAGAAGTCCAGTTCAGATATGGACCACTGAAATGGAGTTGAAAATGTCTTGCAATTTTGCAAAGTATCACGGGCCTCATGCTGAGTAAGAAAGAACAAGTACTCTCAAATAGTTGAGGGTACAAATGTTAAGTCTTGACGAGATGTGTAGTGAAATCCACAACAATTGCTAACACTCGTAGTTGGAGTATTATTGTGGAAAAGCTCCAAAGAAACAGTTGTGGTGTCATCAGTGATGCATACCATAGTATAGCTTGTCATGAGGCTTAAGGAACAGGCAAAAGGAGGTTAAGGAAATTTGTACCCAAATTTAACAATGGTAGGCAACAGCAATAAACATTTAAAGTAAGTTAACTCCTAAGACAACAAGTCAAGTGTGCTGCCAAACACATTGACACTAAGGTACATGTTGTAAATGAGAAAATTCAGAGTCATTTTGAAAGCATTGAGCACATAAGTATCAAGCAAGTACTTGCGGATCCGCATACCAAAGGCTAACCACCCAGTGCGTTCAGAGAACATACAATCGACATGGGTTTATGGGAAAGCCTATGATTTCTGGATACTAAGGGCCTAGTTGAGTATCTGTTTCAAAACAGAGAGCTGCGTTGTAGCTGTTTAATCTAATGGCAACAGACCGTGACGATGAGGCACGCTCTATGCACTGATCTGTGATGGAATGGGAACAAGATAAAGTAAGTAAGTTAAGTTTCAGGGATAGGGTGAGATCAAGGGGGAGAATGTTAGTTTGATCTCCACCAATTGGCCCAATGACCAATTGGGCCCTTGGATCAACGCCCTGATCGGAGGCGTCCAACCACTCTGATTGGTGGGCCCCTATCGCACAGCACCACAAAAGGGAAGTTAGGGCCAGGGCACGAGGTACGAGGTTGACCTGAGCCGCCGCAACCCTCCTACAGAGAAACCCTAACGCTAACCGATCAAGAGAGACGGTGCTGCCAGCGACGGGAAGCCACCACCGACTTCACCGTCGCCTCTGCATCGCCACCACCGCGCCTACGCTGCCACGACACCGGTGTCCACGTTGCTGTGGCGCCATGGACCCAACTGTGCTAGGGCGAGGTACAGGAACAAGTTTCCCCATCTAAGTCGAGATTATCCCCTGATCTATGTTTTTAGAGGTACTATATCCTATCAGTTGATGGCAGGAATCGATCACAAACACACAAGAATATCAGTGGCTAGCCTAATGAATCGAGCACAGATCAAATCGGGTGGAAGAACAGCAAGAACATGTGGTATCCGCCACCAGGACAACAGGGTGATTGCGCCCCTTTTCGCTCTCAACCACGACGAGTACCACACACAGATACAAGTGTCTAAGACTCTCACCGAGACCTCTTACATCAGGGAGCATACATCAGCTCCTAACTCACACACCCACACAGAGAATAAAAACTGCTAGACACGATACAAGACGCTCCAAAACACACTCTTCAGACAACTGCATGTCAGTGGACGCGGTGACCACGAACTGCCGTTCCCGCTTGACTTGGCACAATTCAAACTTGAATTCTCCCGCCTTCTCACCTTGCCTTCGACTGAATTAGGCTTTGAGCATCGACACTGATAGGTTTACACTAACATTCTCCCCCTTAAACCTGTCAAGCAGTAGCACCAAGATCTCTGACACCTAACAAGTGCCTCATCACCACCAGTTTCCCCACCGGCAATGCCTTGGTCAAAGCATCAGCTTTTTGTTCATCAGTACTAACTCTCTTCACAATGATCTAACCCCTCTCCACACACTGTCTGATGAAATGATATTTGATATCAATGTGGTTACTCCTTCCATGAAACACTGGATTGTTCATTAGAGCCCTTGCTGAATTGTTGTCAACATAGAGAGTTACTGCACTTGGTTTTTCTTCAGTGATTTCACTCAGCAGATTTCTCAGCCATAGTGCTTGCCTTGCTGCAGCAGTGGCTGCCATGAATTCGGCTTCATAGGATGACAGAGCAACAGTCTTCTGCTTCTGGGAACACCAGCTCACCAAATTCTCACCTAGGTAGAAAGCCATTCCACCAGTGCTAGTTCTCTCCACTTGGTCAGCTCCATGATCACTGTCAGTGTATCCCACCAACATCCCTGTTCCACCACCTTGAACATACACCAGTCCAAACTCAATGGTTCCTCTCAGGTATCTCATGATCTGTTTGACTGCCCCAGCATGCAACACTGTTGTTTTTTCCATAAACCTGCTAGCTAGCCCAACTGAGTATGACAGGTCAGGCCTAGTATGCAGCAAATACCTAAGACAACCAATCATCTTTCTGTAATCTGTTGCATCAACCATCTTTCCTCCCTTGTCTGCATTCAGTTTGTTTCTAGGTTCCATTGGGAATTTACTAGCATTGCATTCTGCCATGCCAAACTGCCCCAACACCTTTCTAGCATAGCATGTCTGTTTCAGAGTGATATGGTCATCTTTCTGATCAACTTCTATACCAAAATAGAATGAAAGAAGACCAAGATCAGACATCTCAAACTCACTCATCATTTGTTGCTTGAATAACTTGATATTTTCTGGATTCCCCCCTGTGACTATCAAGTCATCAACATATACACCCAACAACACTGCATCTGTCCCATGCCCTCTAGTGTAAACTGCTTGTTCACTAAAACATCTCCTGAAGTTCAGCTTTTTCAGGCTTCTGTCTAACCTGACATTCCAAGCCCTTGGTGCTTGTTTAAGTCCATACAGTGCTTTGCTCAGTTTGAGTACACACTGTTCCTTCCCTTTCACAATGTATCCTTCAGGTTGTGAAACATAGACTTCCTCCTCCAACTCACCATGTAAAAGGCTGACTTCACATCTAAATGATGAACCTTCCATCCTTGATTAGCTGCTAGAGCCAATAGTACCCTTACTGTATATAATCTGGCCACAGGTGCAAATACTTCTTCATAATCCACACCAAATTTTTGCACATAGCCTTTAGCAACCAATCTGGCTTTATGTTTCACCACTTCCCCATCAGAATTTTTTTTCAATTTGAACACCCATTTCAAACCAATGGGCTTTTTCCCTGCATGTAGCTTGACTAGCTTCCAGGTATTGTTCTTTTCTATGGACTGCATCTCCCTATCCATTGCATCAACCCAATCTTGATTGTCAGCTGCATCTTTGAAACAAGTTGGCTCTTCCATTTCAACTAGAAGTGCTTCAACATTTTCATCCATCAGCTCCACCTCATAGGAATCATTATAAACTTCATTTAGATTCCTAAACCTGATTGGGCCACTGTCCAAGTCAATGGTGTCATCTACATCCATGCTGTTAGAGCCAAGGTCTGACAGATGTGGTGAATTCTGTGAAGTCACTAGCTCCTGCTCTGTTGTCGGATTTTCTTCAGACGCTGACTGACTGTCAATGTCATCAGCATTTCCATTTCCTCCAACTGCAGATTCCTCTCCACCACTACTTGCTCCCCCTGTCTCACTGACATCCTGAGCATCATGTCCATCACCAACACCACCATCAAGACACTTATAATCACCAGAGAAGAATTGACCATCCTTCTCATCTCTGTTTTTAGAAAAATTTTCATCATTAACAGCTTCCCAGCTCCACTTCACTGTCTCCTCAAACACAACATCCCTGCTAACCACAATCTTGTTTGTTTTTGGATTGAACATTCTATGAGCTTTGCTGCCTTCTTCTATACCAAAATAGACCATTGGTATGCTTCTATCATCAAGTTTTTTTAGATGTGTCCCCACAACTTTCACATGTCCTTTGCAACCAAAAATTCTTACATGCCCCAGATGAGGTTTTCTTCCATTCCAACCCTCATATGGTGTTCTGTACCCCATGGACTTTGTTGGAAGCCTGTTTAGCAGGTACACTGTATGCCTAACAACTTCTGCCCAAAATATCCCAGGGATTTCCATGCTCTTCAACAGGGATCTAGCCATCTCCATCACAGACCTGTTCTTCCTCTCAACCACTCCATTTTGCTGTGGAGTGTAAGGTGTTGTAAACTGATGTTTGATCCCAGCCTGCTCACACACATTTTGGAAGGAACTAGCTAGAAATTCTCCACCTCTATCTGATCTAAGAATCTTGATCTCATGGCCAGAGTTCTTCTCTACCTCTGCTCTAAACTTGATGAAAGCATCAATGACTGATCCTTTGACTTCAAACATGTACTAATGTAGTCCATCTAGTGCAGTCATCCACTAGAAGCATGAAATATTTGTTGCCTGCTAATGTGGATGGAGTAATGGGCCCACAAAGATCTACATGCACAAGCTGAAGTGGTTCATCTGTTTTCCATGGCACTGACCTTGGAAAAGGCTTCCTGGTTTGTTTGGCTGTTAGACAAGACTGACAGACCTGATCTGGATGTTGAATCAGTGGCACACCCCCAACCATATCCTTGTCAACAATTTGCTTCAATGCATGAAAATTAACATGACCAAGACGACCATGCCATAACCAAGCATCATCACTAGTATGACTCAAAAAACAGGTTGGCTCTACTGACACTAACTCAATTTTATACAATCTGTTTCCTGTTCTCTAAACTTTCATGATCAATCTCCATGGGTTTTTCTCTGACACCTCAATGACATCCTCATCCATCACTACCTGGTGCCCAATTTCAGTTAGTTGACCCAAACTAATCAAATTGCTTTTTAACTTAGGAATGTAGTAAACATCTCTAAGCACCCATTGATCACCTGTCCTCCCTTGAAACAAAATTGAGCCCTTTCCCATTATCTCTACTGATGAGCCATCACCAAACCGTACCTTGCCAGTAGCAGTCTGGTCCATGTCCCTGAACTTGTGGCGATCTCCAGTCATGTGATTGCTGGCACCATTGTCTAGGTACCAGACATCGTTCATGACCTCCCCCTCGCCGACAAAGTACAGCTCCGGCAACACCTTCTTCTCCTCCAGCATCACTTCTGTATGTAGGTTAGTGCACAGTGCAGGCTCGAGCGGTCCCTGCCCCTCAGTTTCCGCGAGCAGCACTGCCGACTCCATCGCCACCGTCCTCGCATGGTGCGCCTCCTCGTCCTTCTTCTCACCGGGACAGCGGTTGGCATAGTGCCCATAGCAGTGGCACTTAAAGCACTTGATATGACTTTTGTCACGTTTCTCAGTGCTTTCCTTCCCCGCATCGCCGCGTCCACCATGACCTCCCCGGCTGCCACCACGACCGCGTCCACGACCTCGGCCGCCATTGCCCGGAGACCTCCCGCCTCCAGAACCTTCTCCACTCGACTTCTTTTGGCGTGCCTCCCACTCAGCTTGAGTGAGTAATGCCTGCCCATCACCAGAGCGCAACCCACCAGCTCCCCGCCTGGTTCGCTCCTCGAACGCCTTCAGTCGGCCAACAGCTTCGTCAAACACCAAAGTTTTGAGATCATAGAACTGTTCGATCCCGGCTATGACATGGATGAATCTGTCAGGCAAGGTGTCGAACAACATCTTCACCATGGCCGAGTCCTCCAATGTCCCACCTAGATTCCCGTACTTGACTGACATAGCCGTCAGTTTTCCGGCGAACTCATCGACAGTCTCCTCCTCCTTCATCTTCAGCGCATCAAACTCTGTCTTGAGGGTCTGCAGGCGCGCGTCCTTGACACGCTCAGCGCCCACAAACCTCGCCTTCAGAGAGTCCCACACTTCCTTCCCCGTCTTCTTCTTCGCCACTTGCATCAGCAGCTCATCCGACAGGCACTGGAAGAGATGCGCTCGCACCTTCTTATCCTTCGCCGTCTGCGCCTCCGTTAGGGCTCCCGCCGAATTCCCCTCCGGCGGCTCCATCACTTCCCACCACCCCTGCTCCTCCATGATCGCCTGCACCCGAATACTCCAGCAGGTGTAGTTGGTCGCCGTCAGTGTTGGGAACACCTGCCGGTGCCCACCATCGCCGCTCCCCCGACCTCCATCAGCAACCGTCAGTGACATGGCGAAGCTCTCGGTGGATCTTGCGTGTTTTACCGGCTCTGATACCAAATGATGGCAGGAATCGATCACAAACACACAAGAATATAAGTGGCTAGCCTAATGAATCGAGCACAGATCAAATCGGGTGGAAGAACAGCAAGAACATGTGGTAACCGCCACCAGGACAACAGGGTGACTGCGCCCCTTTTCGCTCTCAACCACGACGAGTACCACACACAGATACAAGTGTCTGAGACTCTCACCGAGACCTCTTACATCAGGGAGCATACATCAGCTCCTAACTCACACACCCACACAGAGAATAAAAACTGCTAGACACGATACAAGACGCTCCAAAACACACTCTTCAGACAACAGAATGTCAGTGGACGCGGTGACCGCGAACTGCCGTTCCCGCTTGATTTGGCACAATTCAAACTTGAATTCTCCCGCCTTCTCCACCTTGCCTTCGACTGAATTAGGCTTTGAGCATCGACACTGACAGGTTTACACTAACATCAGCTTGGTCATATTCTTGAACGATGTTGGTAGCTTCCCTGTGTCGAACGAGTTGAATGCCAACCACAATGTCTCGAGACTCCTCAGCTCGCCAACCCCTGTCGGGATCATGCCTGTGAGGCCGTTGTTGTCTAGCTGAGACACCGGAGGTTTCGGAGCCTAGACAGAGATGCCGGGATGCTGCCATTAAACCTGTTGAAACTGAGGACCAAGTTTGCTGCAAGGGCATGGCCGATGTCATCGGGGAGCCCTCCACCGATGTTGTTCCGGGACAGGTTGAGGTACCGGAGCGAGCTACAGCGGTAGAGCGCCGTCGGGAACGTGCCGAAGATGTTGTTGGAGAGGTCGAGGCCTGTGAGGCTGGAGAGACCGCCAACGGCGTCTGGAACAGGTACCGTAATGTTGATGCTGGAGAGGGTGAGTCTGGTGACGCGTCCGGCCGAGTTGCACCTCACGTATGGAGACACCGGAGTTAAGTCAGTCACAGGAGACTTGGAGACTGCTAAGTCGGTCACCGCGCGCCTCAACGCATGGCGTCCATTAGTTGCACCGGAGTCAGTCACAGGAGACTCGGAGACTGGCAGTCGGTCGCCGACGGCTGACACACGAATCCTTGAATCCTCCCTGCTGTGCCTTATTTCCCTTTGCTGAAAACAGTAGAGAACAACGTACGACGAAACAAGATGCAATGCAACCACACACGAATGAATGGCAGGGTGTGATAGCTATAGCTTGACTGAAGGTATAAATCGACTCTGAAATCAAAGGGTGGCTATCCAGTCCAGGCTATCTAGATGGATGGCCAACTATATCACTGAAGAGAAGACTCAAGAGAAGGAGAAGACTTGCTCTGGTTCTGATCGAGCTTCTCAAGTGTTTAGATATATCCTCCATCGTTTCTGAATGGCGTTACCCGACGCGTGCTATTCTCCAGTCCACAGTCCACAGGCACAGGACGTACGTGCGCCTTGATCAGAGCACGACGACTCGGCTCGCCCTAAGCTATTCTTATTCTCGCTGTGGCCAACAACTGAACTAATGCGCGCATGGCGTCCACATGTCAGAGCTCGTGCGTGGGTCCATGACTCAACCGACCGAAACGGACTCAAACTAACTAATACTCCCTCCATCCGTACCTAAATAACCGTTATTTTTGCTTCTTGAAAAACAACTTTGATTAAATATATAAAAAATATTAATATTTATGGTACAAAATTAATATCATTAGATAGATCATTAAATCTATTTTCATAATAAATTTATTTGAAAATATAAATATTGTACGTATTTTCTATAAATCTAGTTTTAAGACACGAAAAAAAAACCCGATAGTTATACAGGGACGGATGGAGGGAGTAGAACAGACGGACAAAAGCTTTATAGTTAACACATCTCCCCAAAAAGCGAGTATGGCTAACTTTAGCTTCACAAGGCTGATTCGGGGCATTGTGCGGTAAATTTTTATTTTCATGGGCCCCAGATTACTACCACCTCTCAATATATTATAATTTTCGTAGAAAATTTAACAACTAATAGAGCTTGCTTCTCTATATATGGTTCATTCTTATTGCTTATTACTTGAGCAATAATATACATTTTTTAGGGTATACTTGAGCAATATACATGCTCTAACAGACTAGGACTCTGATAGAATCAACATAAAAGCTTTGGCTAACACTAGACAACTCTGAAAAGCTATTATAGCATGCAATGAAGTTTACAAGATGCTTGGGACTTTAGGATGAGGAATGCAAACTAATATATTTGGAGATCTAATAAGTTTTTCTTGGTCAAGAGGAAGCCATTATTTATGCTTGTCCTTTGAGAGGCATGTAAAATATTTTTGTGTCCTCCCTTTTTTTTGCGATTCGTAAAATATTTTTGTGTCGTTGCTTCGATCTTGACGTCGTGTGGGATAGACTCTGTGTACAATTGACAGTCGTTGCAGGTTTAGTCCTTGCAAATTAGGCCTTGTTTAGATTGCAAGTTTTTTCACTCTCTCTCCGTCACATCAAATTTTTAGACACATGTATGGAGTATTAAATGTAGATAAAAAAATAACTAATTACACAGTTTGATTGTAAATTACGAGACGAATCTTTTGAGTCTAGTTAGGCCATGATTAGACAATAATTGTCAAATACAAACGAAAGTGCTACAGTGCCAAATACTGATTCCTAACCCTAATCTAAACGAGGCCTTAGACTTAACAAATCCTCCCAGTGAGTTTGTTGTTGGCCAGGTATAGTCTCTGCAGCAGCGGCATGCCATAGCCCAAAGTTGTCGGTATCTCACCAGAGAGTTGGTTATTGCTTAGGTCCAGAATTTGCATAGTGGCACATCGCACAAGACCTTCGGGGATAGAGCCATTCAAGTGGTTTGTTGAGGCACTGAAAAGCTCCAGATTGCCTCCCGCGCAAACCCCCTCTGGGATCCTACCCGTAAGCTCGTTGTCAGCAACATCAACAGTAGTTAAGTTGGGCGAGTGCTTTCCTAGCTCGGGCGAAGTGTGCCAGTAAGCCTGTTAGCGCCCAAGTATAATAGCCTCAGTGATGGCAAGCGACTGATGCTCGTTGGTATCTCGCCGGAGAAGTAGTTGTATTCAAGTACCAAACTTTTGAGGCTATCCAAGCAACCGAATACTTCTGGGATGGTTCCAGTGAGCTTGTTTTCATGTAAATGGATTTTGACCAAGCTCATCGCGCCAAAACTATCAACCACCACGTTGCCAGTGAGGTTGTTGTTAGACACAAAGAAGAATCGCAGCTTCTTGAGGTCCCAAATCCCTGGAGGTATGGTTCCGGTCAACGAGTTGTTCTCTAGGATTAGTGCCTCCAACTTCTGCATCTTTACCACATAGCTTGGGAAGTCGCCTGGGTCAAACGGGTTGCACGACAACCACAACAGTTGAAGGTTTGTTAGCTCGCCAAGCTCCGTTGGGATAGTGCCGCTAAGGCTGTTGTTGTTCAGCGCGAGGTACTGGAGGCCGGTTCTGGAGCCTGGACAGAGACACCGGGATGCTTCCATTGAACTCGTTGGAGCTGAGGTCCAGCGTGCTCAAGTTCACTGGAAGTCTGTGGCCGATGTCATCAGGAAGCTCCCCTCCGATGTAGTTGCAGGACAGGTTGAGGTACCGGAGTGAGCTGCAGCGGTACAGCACCATCGGGAACACGCCAGCGATGCTGTTGTCGGAGAGGTCGAGGTGGATGAGGCCGGAGAGGCCGCCAATGGCATCAGGGACATGGCCCGTGAGGTTGATGCTGGCTAGGGCGAGCCTGGTGACGTGTCTGGCCGTGTCGCACCCCACGTATGCCCAGCTGCAATGTACCCCCGTGGCCGAGGTGGAGGCGGTCCATGCGGCGAGCGCAGGCGGATCGCCCCACGCGTGCTTCATCCGGAGGAGCAGCTCCGCCTCGTCCAGTGGTCGGGGCTTCGCGGCCACGCGGTGGTGCAGGAGGCATGCTACTAGTAGCACAGTGCTGAGGCAGCAAGCACGTTGGCGGTGAGGTGTTGCCATGTCTTGGCCGCTGCCGTTGTGGACAGTGGAGACGGCGGGTGCTGGGTTCGTACTTGAATGAATGAGCAGAGCAGGGCACCGAAAAATCTCTGTGCTTGACTCGACGTATGGACACAAATTTAGGTGGTGTTGGATCCGGTGACTAAAATTTAGAAGGTGTATCGGGAGGGCATTGCATGGGTGTTCGGATACTAATAAAAAAACAAATTACATAATCCGCCAGTACTCCACGAGACGATTTTTTTAAACCTAATTAATCCATCATTAGCATATGTTTTACTGTAGCACCACGGTGTCAAATCATGAACTAATTAGGTTTAAAAGATTCGTCTCGTAAATTAGTCACAAACTATGTAATTAATTTTATAATTAATCTATATTTAATACTCCATACATATGTCTAAATATTTGATAGGATAAAAATTTAGAAGAGGCAACCAAACATCACCTTAGGCTTTGGAGTCTCTTCCGAGCCGTGATAAATTCTGCAGCTGTCACGCAGACTGAAACACAATAAAACTGGCCCGGTCAAGACACGGGCAATTCGCATCCCTGTTCCTGGCCCGGAGAGGGCAATGGACGATGGAGATGGAAGAAACAAGCACGCGGCTGTGTCCCTTGACCGACTTAGCGAAAGCGACAGTACGTAGTTGCAGATTGGCGTAGGAATGGTACTATTCGAAGCACCACTTTCCTGTGCCAAAGCAGAATCCAAAGCAAACTAGGAACCATGGAACAAAATGAAGCGCAAAGCAAGTTTGTACTGCGGCTCTACATCAATACTGCCAAGAAGCAAAACACTGTTGGGGACGTGAATTGATTTGAATGAATGAATTGGCTGATGACCTTCCACTGCAGTACAGCATTTTTTTTTTGGTTCTTCACGGATTATACAGTAGTATTAATGGCATGGTGATTAGATCCATGTCGACTTTTTATATATGCAACTTAAATCTTACCCCGCTTAGGAGCCCTGGGCTCCCGA